AGCAGGAATTCAGCCACAGCAAACCAAAGATTTTCCAAGTAGCCTATTACATTAGTTAAAGAAACATGACAGCTCGCTTGCACTGCGTCCGTATTTTGGCTCAAAATAAAACTTTGGATAATAGGCAGATTCATTCTATTTTGCCTTTTCATCGGTGATAAAGTAAGGAAGACACAAAATGTCATATTTAGCCGTTAAGTCACATTTTACCTTCTTCTGGGCTTCTTTGTTAGCTGCGATGTTTCCGATTTCACCAAGCGCCGCCCGAGGCTTCCCTGTGGGCCCGGTAACTGAGCAGGCCTTTCCACCGAGGTCAGTCCTGGTCGAAGCCAAGCGGTTCTGCATAAAAATAAGGGATTAATGTGTTATCCATTGCAGATGCATAATAAGATGTAACTATTTAGTCGAAGTCCTATTATGAAACAGCTACAGGAGCGAAAGCCCCACAGCGACGCACCAGGACATATTACACTGAAAATAGTTTCTTAAATTCAAGAAATATGCACTTATTTCTTAAAGCCCTTCCCGTCCCAAATAACAAAACAAGAAAAAATGTGAGTTTAAGTACTTACTCTTGTTACTCGAAGAGCCATTTCGCAACACACGCTGCTTCTACAATAAAACAAAGACTCGTAATGGAGAACAACGCTGCGTGCCTTAGTTAAGCCAAGCTGTTGGTTTAAATCCTCGCTCGCTGCAAGATGATTCGTGGTTTCCTGACATGTCGGAGCATCTAATTGGTCGAGCGCATGTGTTTCAAATGCGTTACCCAGACAACTGCCGGTCACGTGATTTTAATAGTTTCGTTCACTTCCTTTTCCTGTTATGTCTTATGGTCATGTTCTACATGTGTTTTCTTTCTTTTTTTAATGAATGAATGAATGAATGACACTTTATTACAGACTCAATGTCCAAGTTCAAAAACGAAAAAAATGAATAAATAAAGAGTTAAAAGGGAAAGAAGATGAAACAACAATAAAAAAAAAAAACCACATCTAATATTGCTTTCATGCTTTTTAGATTCATTTTTCATGTAGGCAACACCTTTATTTGCTCAAAAAAAAACTCCGTTTAATTTAATTTTTTAATTAAATGGCTGATGATGCCTGTATGTGACACTTAAAACGTACTTCTAGAGTAAATTGTCATGATTTATTTTAGACAATGTTTACCCCTATTTTAATTTATCTTGGTAAAATGCATTGTTTGCTTTTACTACATTTGACAAGAATTTTGGATCTTAATCTTTAAAATGTATTTTTTATTATTATGACAAGTCTACACCCATAAATAAAAAAAACTATATTTTTTTAAGATAAAAAAACTACATTAAACATTACACAATCTCCATAACTGATAATAAAAACAAAAGCAACTGTTAAAATTTTTTTTTTTTATTCATCTATTTATTTCGTTTTCTGTGTTTTTGTAATGAAAATACCCCCTGGTGTTTTTGCTCATTGTTATTTTCTCTTGTTTACTTTTATAGCCGGATTTTTCGTTATGTAAGTTGTGTACACTGGAAGCTATCCTCATGTACACTATTTTGTTGAAATAAAGTTGATTGCTTAAGTTTGTTCAATAATCCATCTATCATGGCCCCATACTCTGAAGAATGTTTGTTTCATTGAGACCAGAGGGAGACGCAGGTAACAGGACAGAGAACAAGGTTAAACTCTATAATACTATAATATAATACTATAGACTAATACTATTGACCTATTTAATGGGAAAGGTCCTTCAAATCTTTGTCAGTGGTGTAGCACTATTGTAAATATAATTCAGAGTGGAAGACACTAAGAGAAATAACCTAATGGATTTTAAAATCACTATTTGGTACAGCTGAAGACATCAGAGGCCTTATTTTATCATATTATGGAGTCAAGATTCGGAAATAGGATGAATTGACACACTACATAAAAACCACCAACTGATTGCAAGGGCAGTTATTCAATTTTTGCAAAATACGGGATTATACTCAAAGATATGAATTGTTATTAAACTAGATTATTTCATATAATTTACCTGCAGAGGGCAGTAATACGCCCAGTTGCGCCTACACTGCCTTAAATCAGAGAAGAAGAAGAAGCAGAAGAAGAAGCAGAAGAACGAACTAGACGTATTCGCGGCGTTGTGGAGCAGAGATTCGTATGAGAAGAGAAACACACGGACGATTTACGTAGACGGCCTCGATTAATTAGGTAAACCTACTTTTGTCAATCTAAAAAGCTTCAAGAAACATCAACGTTTTTCTGACATAGGAGGTATATTAACCAGTTAAATCATAGCCAGCTAGTGTTAAGTGTCTGTTTGGGGAGTTTCTAAAGGGAACTATAAAACGCTAGCGTTAACAAGCAACCTTAAAGTCACAAGTTATGTAGTGATTTTACCCTCTACGTTGATATAAAATCGGTTTCCTTAACATTAGCTAGCGAGGATTAATGTCAGATAAAGAAATGCTCCGTTTGGTTATCACATGTCACTTTTCCTATCCAAACTTTTCTTATCCAGCTGCGAGGTTGTAAAATACGGATTTCGCCTGTTATAACAGCTAAATTAACATAAGCCATTAAACCAAACCACTATGCTTGTTTTTTCAACATCGACTTGTCCAGTAACTAAAACAAAGTTTGCAGTTTAATTTGGCTAACGTTAATCTGCTTTCATCGCCACCAGCATCTCTAGAACTTGGTTAAGTTTAATGTGTCTTGTTGGCCGTATCAAAAATTTCTGGATATTTTACTTCTTGGCAGTTTTGACTGAGTTACGTACTTAATGTCCATTGTAAAAGCCAATAATGACAGTTACAAGTTAACCTCGAGGTACGCAGTCCATGTGTTGGAACAAAAGCAAAGAACAGACAAAGCAAAGGCAACAACGGTGCTAACGCTAACAGTTTTCTGGTTTAGCTAACCACTAACATAAGGTAGATCACGAGAATCTGCTCATTCGGATTTTGTGGCTAACTGTTAATGTTAGCATGTGGTTGGATTGAACTTTATAGCGTTGAACCGAGTTGTAGTTGCGTATCTTAATTAGAAAGATTCGAACTAGACTGAGAGGTGATAATGTCCATGTGCCATGTAATATAGTTTTTGAGAGAACGACGTAAGCAACAGCCATTAGCTTGCTAGCATGACTCAGTGGATTTGTAGAAGTACCACGGCTGTGGCCCGGTGCTTGTCAGCAAGCAACGACAGACTGCTGTCGAAATAAATGAAATTGGTTAAATCACCTTCATTTTAAACACGTCTAACTGAAGACAGGGTTATGTATGTTACTGAACCTCGGAGTGACAGTAGTGAGGTGGCACTTTTGACTTTATCATGCTTTCTCTGTGCTGAAAGGTCTCACTTTCTACAGTTGTTTTGTACCCATGTCTCAATGTGTGGTTTATCAGCCTATGTCTTGATAATGTGCTTCCTTCTTTGAATTAGTGCGCTAGTTGTATCTTTTAAGGCAAACAGACTCCCTGGAGGATACAGATTTTGGCATGATACCAACTCAGGTTTCAGGACTCGAGGTTATCTAAAAATAGATGTTCAAAGCCTTACTGTACTGAGGAAATTCATGAGTGTGTGTGTGCCTCACATTGCACTCCTGTGACACAAGGTCATCATACACAGGCAATGTGAGTCTGAAGATGCAGATTGTAGTGATGACAGGCTAGGGAAGAGGAGAAAGCTTCTGATGCAGTTCATCTAAAGCTTAACCTAATGATGTGGCTCCATCCCTTTTTTGGTTCCCCCATGTTTTACCAAAGATTATAAACGGTCTCTGTCCCCTCATATGATACCCTTATAGCTCCCTATAAAATACAAGCTGTCCTTAGGCTGTTGCATGGCCATGTTTAGTTGAGTCAGTTTAGCTCAATAGAGCGCTCATATGCATTGTGTTTTGGTAAGCTCAACTCGAGCTGCACATACTAGCTTTTCTCATGGCTTTAAACCACATCTCACAGGCTTTATCGGTAAACATGAGGCAGTTGTTATGAGCACATGTCCCAACCTGTTGTTCCACACTTGGATTATGTGCACCCCTGAGCCACCTTACACTATTTTCTGGAGAGGTCAAAGCTTAAATAAAGCTAACATGTGGACCTTAAATTAGCATTATTTTATCACATTGATACCAAGGTCAAGAATAGACTTTGCCAAGGTGTTTGAAGAGCATATGCAAATTAAAATATAGCCAAATTTTGCTGATTATATTACATAGCTGAACAAGACAGTCATATGTGATGTGACCATGTATTAGTGGCTGTTAGTGATAAGGAGCTGTCATTTGGTTTTGTCTGCAGATTTACGTGAACAAACGAGTATTTTCTGTCATTGTGCAGAGTGACCACATTGAGCTGTGCTATAATTAATTTAGGATGTGATTTCTTATGGTACTCATCACCTCATTGTCTGTCTTTGTTTGTGCCTTTAGAACACCTCCCCAGGCAGGAGTTACTATGGCCCAGGAAACCAATCAGAGCCCAGTTCCTATGCTCTGTGCCACTGGCTGTGGATTCTACGGCAACCCCAGGACTAACGGCATGTGCTCTGTGTGCCACAAAGAGCACCTGTCAAGACAGAACAATGGAGGAGTCAGTACTTTGAGTGCTGTGGGTAAGACCTGCTTGCTGTTTGTTTACACACGAAGATCGGGAAAAAAAACTTCACTGTTTGGCACTACACTGTCTTTAATCCTCAGTGTCTGACTTTAAAATGAGGTGAAATTTCTCCCACAGGCAGCAACAGTGGCCCCACAGCTGAGGCTTCTGCCATCCAGAGGCTAGAGGCCACCTTGAATAATGCAGTCGCTGCTGCAGAGGTGGCAGCTGAGACCACCTCCTCTGCTGAGGCTATTGCCACCGAGGCTCTCAGGTGAGGGGATCCAGGGATCTCATTGCCCTTAAATGTGTCCACAGTTCCCTCACTTGCATCTTTTCCTTGCTTCTTAGTTCCACCCATGTGAGATGTAAGGAAAAGATGTGAGGACAGAGGAATCGAGGGAACATGTTTTTAGCAACTTGGTAACTTCTGAGCAACAAAGAGTTCCATTTCCACCCATGAATGCCACATTAGTGGGCCATTTATATGGACTCTTCATATGCACAACTCCACTCTGAGGCACAATTACACCTGAAGCTGTGCATCCTTAGCACTGCCTCTTCAGCTTGTAAAGACAGTTGGATATATGTAAAATATGGTAATTAAATTTATTCACATTCATGTAATCTGTTTTTAAATTTATTTACATCCTTTTTATCCTTCGCAGTAGGGTTTCAGCGGCCATTTCTGTAACACAACAGATAGCTGAGATGAGCCTCTCCTGTGAAGAGAAAGGAGCATCGGGGAGTCAATTAGAGCTGACAGAGCCAGGTGGGTACTGCAAGTGGAGCAGTTACTTACTGGAGGATATTGAACAAGTTAAGTGTTGTCCTGGTGTACTTTCTGATTGAAATGTGTTTATTATAAAGGCCATTTTCCCCCACCTTCAACCATTCGTATCCAGGACTCTCTCAACTGCTGCAAACAAATCCTCGCTTTTAGTCATGCCATGCAGTGTCTCAACTCCAGCAAGCTCCTCTGTTATTTCCATATTTTCACGGACACCC